CAAAGAGTGTCTCTAAAGAAATACATGAGGCATGTAAATTCAAAGGAAGAAACCCCTTGTAGAGCAGAATGTTTCCTTTACCTTAAGAGGAAGCCAGGCAATGAGTAACCTCTCATTGCCCCAGTAACCTCTCAGCTGTGGATTATTCTGAAAACAAAGCTGAGTTAAGCAACCCATCACCTTAAAGCACACAGAAAACACAATAATCAAAAATGGCACCATCAAGATCTCCATGACAGAAATGTCAACATTACTGAAACACCCTACAGTAAAAGCCTTGCAATGGCAAGAGATGGATTCAAGTCATCAGCTGCCAGCATCTGATCTTTCCAAGAACATTTAACTCTTACTGCAAGGGAGTTCCTCAAGCAGATGCCAAAAATACCACAGCAAGGACCAGATTGGAACTTATCACAGCACAATGTTGGCTTCCAGTAGGAAAAGCTGTCCTCTTCTGTTATCACTCTGCCTTTTCCTTGGCTTATGAACAAAGGAAAACATATTCACACAGTCCTTCTGCACCTGAGAACCTATTTCTAGAATGGTGGTTGTAAACAAAGAGAGTCTGTCTGCTAAAACAGCATTTCTACAACCCAAATCCACTCTAGAGGGAGAGCCTCTGTCCAGGCTAAAGTCAATATGTTCTTACATTGGTTTAATGAGCTTACTTTTATTTTTGGAATTAGTTACCAGCAAACAAAATACAGCAAGAAAATGTTTACTTCATAAAGCCTCCAAGAAATCAATGTTTTCGATTTTGAACCTGATGCTGTTACAGCCAGGAGGTCCATTACCCAAAGCAGGAGTTTCAGAGCACTCTTCTTTTTCCTTGGACATATACAGGGTTGAAGAAAAAACAATGTTCTCCAGTTTCAGTAAGGCAAACATCTGCAAGCCCTATTTCTCATTACCCAACATTTGGAATTAAATCAATACCACTGTACATCACTGTGGTTTCAACAAACACCGAATATGTGAGACACCTTCATCACAAAGGGTTGTATGTACAACAAACATTAAAGTAACAAAACCTGGGAGGCTGACACCAGGAATCAGGCACTTTTTCCTCCTGTCCTTCTGCCCTCCAGAGGCTGGCACCCCCAGACAGCCCAGCCTAGAAAATATCCAAACCTCTTTGACAGTGCTCCTCTTCCTCTCATAACTGACAGCACAGTGTTAGGTGGCAAAAATGTGGCATTTACACAGATATTGGATATAGCTATCTTCCTTTTAAAGGAATACCTCCTTTTTAGACTATACAAAGAAGCAATCAAACATGTACTTTCAGTAGTTGTGCTGCTTCACTTCTCCCTATTTCATTTTAGCTTAGCTGTGGAATCAGAGGAACATTAGGAAAATATCAATCTAGATGTTGTGCTGATTCATTAGACTCTTTTTTAACCAAGAACAGCATTACTTCCCAAACCTAAAAGACCAGGTTATCTTTGTAAAGTTAATACAAGCAAAAAAAAGTCTCATTTCAAAATCTACTGATGTGCTTTATCAGCTGCAGATGAAGACGCTGCCTTTAGTTAAATCTGTAACCAGACAGTGGAGGAAATGTTGTAAGAACAAGCATATTTTAAAATCCTATAGGCAAACACAACTGGCTGGGAAAGTCAATCAGGTTTAAAATCTGGCTCTGCAGGAATGCAATATTTGTGTCCAATGTAGAGTACACAGCCCTACGACGTGTAAAGACAGATGTCTTAAGTAACACATAGCTGAGATGTTTTCATTCCTATGATTTCTTCAATTCCTTTTAAAACAGGTGGTCAGCTCACTGAGAAAATCTATTTCTGGATGTTACCCTCAAACATGCTGGCTGGGAACCTGTTCTAAATTAAGATAAAAAGATGTTAGATTAAAAAGTATTAGAACTAGATTACCTAAGGTCAACTGTTCCCAGAGACTTATTCACAGAGCAGTGTGTTCTCCACCACATATAAGCCTTTCAAACTTCACACAGACTACAGCAAAGAGTAAATTACAACTGCCCAGAGGTGCACTCTTATGTGAAAGGTTCTCCTATGGTGTGGCAGAGGAAATACAGCTGCACAGGGAGAACAACCACATAGGTCTTCTTTCCATTACTGAGAACTTTCCCTTGTTTTTCAGTGAACAGCCTTACATTATTCATCATTTATCCCACCTACAGACATTACATCATATTAAAAACACAATACAGGCGGGACACCTAATACTCCGAAGAATAAAATCTACTTTTCATCACTTTTCAAAAGACACATGAACTCAAGGTTTCACATTTCCTTCGCCCTGGTACCAACTTTCAAACATACTAAGGTGATGACAGGATTTGCCCTTCCTTGTGGCTCTCCCAAAACAATTTGCAAAATCCAAATTATTTGCCTTACAGAAGCAGACTCATTAGATCACCTTGCAAATGGCACCAATACAGAAACACTCCTTGAACTGAAATTAGTTGAAAACTTTAATTGCTAAAGACATCAGCATTAAAGAAAGTCTACTGAAAATGAGACTGTCAGTTTTCAAACAAGGCACGTTTCAAGACTTTTTTGTGTGTGCAATAATAGCAGTTCACACAGTGTGTTTTTTTGCACAAATGAAAAAAACCTCACAGACAAAATTTCTGACACCTGGGAACGAGTAGGATCTAAGCCACTGCTTTTAAGAGGACTATCCAGAAAAGTTCTAAGTATTGTGAATCCTTGTGAAAGGGTTAGTGTGTCACTGTGCTGAAACACTCACAAAGAAGTAGTTTAAGTTGTCAAACAGCAAAATAGCACAGAGAGGAATGAACATTCTGTCAGAAAAGATAATGAGGATCTGAAGGAAGATTATGTCTCTGAGTACAGTGAAAACAACCAGACCAAGCATCAGTTTCTTCATCACTGGGTTTCCAACTGATACCACCACAGAGCTGCAAGGAGAGCTCCATGAATATTTCAAGAGGAAAGGGCAAAGAGTTGACTGAGGTGCATCTAAGCTGTTGTATTATTTCCACCGTTAAAGACAAGTCTTTGCAGAGTACTGAAAGTTTCAGAATATTACTTGATGTAATTAAGATGTTAAAATGCTCAATAAGTTATTAGAGGAATTTTTTCAAGTAGAAATGTAAGATCACATTGCTTTCATCAACAGAATTATTTAACTGTGTATAACTCTAAATTTTACAGCCTATTAAATCCTTTGCTAAACAAAACCGTGATCTGGACAAAACTAAAATACATAAAAGAATAAAAACAAACTGATGCTGAGCTCCTTCAATTGCTTACTTATAAACAAATAAAGGAAGTAAAAGGAAGAGGTCATACTTTCACACTGCCTTAGAAGGTCATACAATGTGCACTTCATGCAAATATCATGTGGAATGAAAACACCATAGCCACATTAGTTTCTCTGCATCACTTCATATTTTTAAGCTTAGAGTCCCATATTTTCACATTTAGGTTACTTTTTCTCACTGATACGACTGTTTCAAAAAACCCACAACGCCTCAGTAGTCACAGCTACTTCACCTCTTCCCCAGGCTCTCACAATTAATGTTGTATTTCTCCAGGTACAGCTCCAACTTCAGGAGGAGGAACCACTACCCAAGCATTAGCTGCCAACTTCTGTGCTGACAACACAACTGAGCATTTTCATGCTTAAAGTAGGCTAATTAGCTTTCCAAGTCTAGTTCATATGTCCAGAGAATAACACAAGGAGGAAATACTTTTAATTTTGTTCAGTCTCCAAGGACCAGTCCAGTTAAAAAGCAGCATCCATCAAACTCACTTTGCCATGGACTCAACAGCTGAAAAATTATTCCTAATGAAGCACGTTGGGCTGTAAACCACGCATGGAAACTAAACTCACAGGACCGACGCAGTGCAGCTCCTGTCAACAATGCTCCTCTACTCACTGTTTATGAACAGATGTTTGCTTAAGGAGCATTAAACTCCTGAAGGTCTCAGTCTCTGTGCTGAAGCTGGGAGGAAGGGGCTGTCACCACCAAGAGGCCAATTTACTGACACCCCGAAGGAATCCCAAGGTTTAACCCTTTTTTTTTTTTAAGGCACTGTCTTCTCTAAGGAAAAAAAAATATTTTGGTTCATCAGGAAGACACTTATAATGGTAAACTCAAGCGTCAAGACCTAATAGGCATTTGAGTAACTACCTCATTTTAGAATAATATTGCTTCTTAAAAAAAAATAAAAATCATCATTATGATGACACACTGAAGCAGAGTTACCTCCAGACGCATTTAGCGACCGACACGCTTTAAAAGAGAAAGCTCGCCAGGAAAAGCCGAGCGCACAGGACAGGTTAACTCACTGTACCACACAGCCCTGATTCCTCTCTCCCTCTCTCAGCTGAACCCCAGGACACCGCGGGGCACCCCGCGCTGGGGCCCCGCCGAAGGACAAAGCCGGGACGAGCCGAGGGAGCGGCCCCTCAGCGAGGGGGGCCCGCGGGGCTCCCCCCTGCTCTGCCCTGCCCTGCCCTGCCCCGCGGGGCCCGGCCCGGCCCCGCCGCCCTCCCCCGGGGGCGAAGGGGAAAAGGACGGCGCTGCCCCGCCAGGCCCCGGCCGCCGCAGCCCCGCCGAGGGGTCCCCGCTGCCCTTTCCCGGCCAGGCCCGGAGCGGACGAGCCGCCCCGTCACCGTCTCTTACCTGCGGGCTGCGCGAGGGGCGGCGGGGCCCGGGCGGGCATGGCTGCGGGCGGGGAGGGGGACAGGGAAGGGAGGGGGACAGGGAAGGAAGGGGAGAGGAGAGGGGGCCGCGGCCGGTTATCTGCGGCCTCCCGCGGCAACCGCCATGGAGGGGGAGCCGCTGTGGGCGACAGGAACCGCGTCGCTGCGGCCCGGCCCCCTCCGGCCGCCGCCTCCTGCCCCGCCACCGCCCCCCGGCCTCCCGGCGCTCCCCGCGCCGCCGCCCCCGCGCCGCGTCACGTCCGGCCGGGCCGGCGAGCGGGGACGGTGTGGGCAGTCAGTGCTGCAAATAAACGAATGAAACGTTCGTGTGTGTGTGTGTGTTTGTGTGTGTTTGTGTGTTGTGTGCTCTGTCTTGGAGCACACGGAGTCCCAGAGCGGATTGAGTAGAAAAGGGCCTTAAAGGCCGCCCGGTTCCGACCCGCGAGCAAGCGCGTGTTAAAATTTAGAACCACAAACGTGCAGAGCCTGCCATTTATCCCTCGGCGGTGGTTAACTGAGCTCCGCACGGCGGTTGAAACGCGCTGGCGAATCGCGATAGTGAAACAGCGAGTGGAGCGTGGTATCAAAGGTTTGCTGAAGAATCACGGAATTAATTAGGTGGGAAAAGGCCTCTGAGATCACCGAGTTCCAACCTGTGACAGAACACCACTGTGTGAACTAGACCATGGCAGCGTGTGACATGTCCAGCCTTTCCTCAAACACCTCCAGGGACGGTGACTCCACCACCTCCCTGGGCAGCCCATTCCAGTGTCCAATCACCCTTATTGTGAAGAAATTCTTCTTGATGTCCAACCTAAACCTCCCTTAGCGCAGCTTAAGACTGTGTCCTCTTGTCCTGTCACTGGTTGCTTGGGAGAAGAGGCCGATCCCCACCTGGCTACAACCTCCTGTCAGGTAGTTGTGGAGAACAATAAAGGTCACCCCCGAGCCTCCTCCTTGCTTCCTCCAGAGGCCGTATCTACACACACCCCCCAGGTATTTAAGTACTCAGTAGTTTGGCTGAGGGAAGGCTTAAAACAAGGCCATTTGCAGAACTTTTCACGTTTGAGAGAGGTTTGTGGAATAAAAATGCCTTTAAGAGTAATTATAATTAATGCAATAATTTAATAAGCAGTAGAAGGCTTTTGTGAGGCATAGGGGAATTATATCGTTAATGCAGTGTTTGTGTGACGTTAGGAATCCTGCTACAATAGCTGAACATACTTACGGGTGACTATTAATGAGGCTGTGTGATTAATTCTCTATTATTTCGCCGCCTGGTGGCTGTTCCCTTTTTTCCATCTTAGTGTCAGAAACACATAGTAAAGCTTGTGCTGACCTGGCAGGACAGAAGGAGAAGCATGGGGGAATAGGAAAGAAGGTAATTTTGCAGTCTTTGACCTTCAACCAGTGTACAACAATGTGTTTTACAAACGGTAAAGGTACAGAGAAGATCCTGTAAAAGCAGTTAAATACTTTGTTGTAAAGCAACAGACAAACTAGATCTTTTTTTCCGATATCTGGCGGTAACCATGAAGTTCCAGGGGCCCAAAGTATACCTCAGTGTGTGGCGCTAGCCCATGAAAAATCATTTTCCATTCCAGCTGTGTTTAATTGGTGGTCATTGGCTATGAGTGTTAATCACCCTATTGTAAATAATATAATTAGAGGAGGTAAAATAATAATTATCTTCTCTTTTACAGCTGCTGTATCAGTCATTTGAATGATCATACACAAGAATAATACGCTGCCCGTAGACTCCACAGACAGCAACACGAGCCCTCGTGTTTCCAGAAAAATCAGATTCATTACCCGGTGTGCAAAAAGCCAATAATTACACACTAGACAGAGACATTGATTATTTATTTTGGAGTTGTGCAAGCCTGGGTGCTCGCTGGTGTTCCACAAATCAAGCACACCAACTATCAAAACTTTTTACTATTTATACATTTTACCACAAAAAGGAATTAGTGTTCATTGGATATATGTTCTCTAATTAATTAATAGTCTATCTTCTCTTGGTTAATGACTCTTTAACTTCTCAGGCTAGTTAGTCCACATGCTCAGTCTTTCTCTTTTTTGGGGTTGGTGTGTTTCTTGGATCAGTTGTCTCCAAGATCTGCCCCTGTCAGAATTACCTTTTACCCTGTCAGAGCTGATTCAGCACAGTTGCTGAGTTGGCTTTATTAGTTTCTTCCTTATCTTGGGACTTCTGCCTGGTGTCCTTGTGGCCCCCAAATCTTGCGTTCTTCGTGTCTCCTATCAGTGGTACATCCTCCTTCCCAAGCTTTGTTAACCTCCCTCTAGGTCTGAGATTGTTGAAGCATATCCAAACCTAAACCTTAACAAGGCAATTCTACCCGCAAGTAATTAGTTTTTCTAACACCTGGACATCACTTACAGCTTACTTGTTAGCTGTGATCTGTTTAACGGATTAAGTCTCCCTTCTTGTTGCTTAGGCTTGAAAGTATACAAAGATCAAACATCAAAGAACATCCTTTCTTAAGAAAATTTCACATATTCCACATTTTACAACAGTAGCACCTAAAAAAAAATAGTAAAGCCCTTGTACAAAAGTCCAAAACCACAAGCACAATCATGTGCCTCAGAAAGAGGGCCAGAAAGATCAGCAGTGTCAGTAATTAGGTTCTAGAGTAGAAGGAAATTTTTAAAGTAAAATTCCCACATGATTTGGGGAAGTGGCTCATACCCTAAGCTACAAAGAAAGGCAGAAAATCCCTCCAAATGGTCCCTGCCAGTCTAACCAGAGGAAAATTTTCTTTCTTTCTCAATGGTATTTAGAATTTTCTAGGACCTGAAGCTTTAATCAATATGCAGTTATGAATACATAAAATTCATTTAACTTGAATGCAGGATCAGACGAGAGGTAAACATTTCATATTAAAAAAAAAGAAAGTGATATTCACTTAGACATAGTGTGAATGATTGAAAAGATGTGTGGGATTTCTTTAGTCATTCCTGCATAAGCTTTGCTGGTTCAGGGAGATTACGTTTGCTTGAGAAGGCAGACTGACTCTTTATAATAGCATTAGCCGTACTATGTATTAGTTCTGTGAAATGGAATTCATCGGTTACAACACTAATTTCAAGGTTATATTTTTAACATATGAAACTTTCCTTTACAGAATTGCATGGATTGTAAACACTGTATCTTATTTGGAGATGATTCTAGCACGGTATTTTATCCGTTTTCAAACATATGGTGAGGTGTTTTTAAAGCGTGTACTTCCAACCCATTTATTTCCTTACAGCATAGTGAAAAAAAGTTGTAATTTCAATAGACCCATCTCAATTTTACTATAACTCATCTCAAGGAAGCCCTTCTGCATAGTGCAATAGAGGTTTTAAATCGAGCAGGACTGGTCTTAGTAACTCCGAGGTTAAGCCTTGACTTGTTGGCTGCAGCAGAGCAGCTTTATCAATCGCTGCTACTGAGTCCTGAAGTGCCAGGAGAGGGCGCAGCCTTCCCAGAAGTCTCAGGTGGAAAAAGGTCTGGTGGTGTGTCAAGATGATTCAGAAAGGCTCTCCCAAAAACCTGCGTGGTCTGGAGGCTCAGACACTCCTCCTGGGTTGGGAATTTAGGATGGCAAGGGCAACTTGTTGTGGTCTACATCCCTGTCCTCCGTAAAACTTAATAATTCATAATTCTCAAAAAATTGAGTATGTAGTATTTACAGGGAAACAATTTAGTTTTTAATTTTTCATTTTGAAGTTTACAACATGGTTCCTGAATGTAAATTTTAGTTATACTATAAGCTGTACCATATATTGTGTAGTGTGGTGCAGAATATCTTCTGAAATATGTTGGGCTGTTAGTAGTGGATAGTGCAGCTCTTTTTCTTTTTTATTTCAAAAATACATACAGTACAACATGGCTCCTGGCAGTGCAAGATATTTCTGGCTTCCCCACTCGGTGGGGAAGAAACTTGCTCTAATGAAAGACTAGATAAATCTTCAAATTTCAAGCAGTTTTCTTCCTTCTATGCTGTATCTGGCAATGCTGTTGAGCAGAAACTAGATAGTCAAGAAATTATCCTGCTTGATTTTTGTTTGTTTTTGTTTTTGTTTTTTTTAATTTACAATTGAATCGGACATTTAAAGAATTGAAATTGTCCATAAAACGAATTTAAAATCATCTTTGGAGACCCTGACAAATTAGAGGACTGGGCAATCATCAACCACATGAAGTTTAACAAGGGTAAGTGTCAGACTCTGCACCTGGGATGGGGCAGCCCTAGATGTACAGGCAGATTGGGGAATGAGAAATGAGATGCTGGAAAACAGCGCCATGGAAAGGGACCTGGGGGTCCTGGTCAGAGGCAAATTGAATATGAGTCAGCCCTGGCAGCCAGGAGGGTCAACCATGTCCTGGAAGGCATCAGGCAAAGCATCGCCAGCCAGATGAGGGAGGGGATTGTCCTGCTCTGCTTTGCACTGGGGCAGCCTCACCTTGAATATTGTGGCAGTTTTGGGCACTGCAATATAAAAAAAGACATTAAGCCATTGGAGAGCATCCAAAGGAGGGCAGTAAATATGGTCAAGGCTCTGGAGGAGAAACCATATGAGGAGTGGCTGAGGTCACTTGGTCTGTTCAGCCTGGAGAAGAGGAGACGGAGGGGAGGCCTCATTGTGGTTCCCAACATCCTCACAAGAGGAAGCGGACCAGTGACAGGACTCGAGGAAATGGCATGAAGCTGAGTCAGGGGAGATTTAGGTTGGATATTAGGAAAAGATTTTTCACCCAGAGGGTGGCTGGGCGCTGGAAGAGGCTCCCCAGGGAAGTAGTCACATCACCAAGCCTGTGTGAGTTCAAGAAGTGCTTGGACAACACTACATCTCAGGCACATGGTGTGATGTGTTCTGTGCAGGGCCAGGAGCTGGACTTGATGATCCTGTTGGGTCCCTTCCATCTCAGCATAGTTTATGATTCTGTGATTCTATGAAACCATTGCAATTCATCTTCACAGAGCTTTTAGGCTTTTTCCCATCCTGACATGAAAATGAATTGGCACGTTTCTCTGAAATGTTTTTAATTCAGTAAAATTGCATTTGTCTGAGAGCTGTATAGCTGAAATAACCCTACTGCTGCATTATCAAGCAGAAAGAGCTTTTCTGACTGAATTCACCAATGAACCTCGAAAGCTTTACATGAAAATTTTTTGTGGCTGTCGTTTCATAACGTGGGCATTGTCAAAGCTAGCTGAATGAATAATATGTGCTTTCTGCTGGCTTCTAAATGGGCATCGGTTAGTAAAAGAAAAATCCTGCAGTTACTGTTAGCTGAGTTAAACAAAAGTGCAGCTGAGCAAAGACTGAACTTCCTAAAGCAGCCTGTTACTAAACTACACTGTCCTTTGGCACTGAAAGATGCTAAAACAGATCTATGAGCAGTGGATGCTTGTTTCTTTGAGGAGTGGTTGGTGCCTTGAACTCCACCCCAAATCTGCACCCTATGTGGTGGTCTCTGTTTCCTTGCAGGACTGGTCCCCCTCAAAGCTTTTCAGAGGCTCTGGGATACTCTAGTAAATATGCCAAATCCCATGTCTTCTGCATCATTGCTACTCCTTT